ATATATAATAGTACATTGCAAATACATTGCCAATAATTGTACTATTTCTTGTACTATTTTTGTCTAACAATTTGCAAATTAAATCTTGAAACACACTTTCAAATAAATGTAATATAGTGCATTTTCGAGAAATATAACAAAAATATACTTAACAAAGAGCAAAAAAATTCTGATTTAAGTTTATATGGTACATGTATTACTAAACAAAACAGAATGACCATGTTTCAAATTAAAACAACACAGAACACTGAACCATCAAAACAAATTGCACTGCTGCAGACTCTCGCTCACTAAATAGAAACACAAACATGCTCCACATTATGTTCCTTTCTTTTGGTTGAACTGCTCGTTGTTACACTTCCGTCTGATGACCGCTCGCACGTCCGAGGCACTCGTCTGCGGCTCTTGAATAACAGCATCTGTTAAGAGAAGAGACGAGAAATGATGTCACACAGCATATTCACACAACATTTTCTTCTATTTTGACCACACAGGAAATCCTGTTGAACCAATATTATTTTTTGAACAGTAAATCAGGATTAATATTGAGGAACTATATCAATATGATATGCCAATATTCCTACCAGTGCAGGTCAAACATATATTTCATCACGGGTGGTGTGTTGAACATGTGATCCTGCTGCTTTATAAATCACAGAAGCTTTAAATTGTCTACATACGACTCAAGACAATTACCTACCTGTTATGGCTTGCACTTTGGCAACGTCCAGTTGTCTTTTAGGAGGTCCCACTTTCCCAGACTTCCCAGTCAGGGTGGACAGTACAAGGACCTCCTTTGTGAACACCAGAGCAGCCAGCTCCTGGCAAAAAAGGGTCATGATCGATTAAGCCGCAGGAAGGCCCTCTTTGAAACCGTCACTGTGCTGCCAGCCAAGGCGTGCTGTATATAAGAGAATCAATGGAACACATTAATATACAGTTGGAAGATCTCTCTCTACCTATTAGGAATTAATAGACCTTATTCACATATGAATACAATGTGCTTCATTATTTAAAACACTGCTAGTAGTCTGTACATCCCTCTATGGTGTAGAGGTTCCCACTCTCTACTAATTCACATGACTGATGTGTGACACATGTAACCTAGTAAATCCCATCACTTTATATCCGACACATTTTAACTTGAACAGCAGACGATGCTGGGGAAGACAAAAGGAACGTGGTGTCATTTTTCTATAGCCCTTACACTGAGCAATCAACATTTACTTCACAATGACAAGTTAAAGCAAAAAAGTTCAGCATTGTTTTCGTTTCGCAAAATCACAGACATTTTCTATACCTATTCAACAGGTGTGAACTGAGTTTTTTGTGCTGTCGCAATGACTTGTTACAACTATTAATGATATTAGGATCTTAAAACATTTTCTGTAATACAAAACAGTACATGTGGCTGGTTACATTGACTTACCATATACTTCAGAATGAGATGCCCATCATCTTCCTCAAGTTGGATGCCTAGAGGATGGCCGCCCTTGAAAGCACTTGTCGCCTGTATCAAAGGATTACACTTGTTGAAATATCCCTCAAAACATCAGTAATTACAAAAAATGTTTAGAATATATATAGGACCTCTGGTGACCTTAAAATATACACTGACTTCATTATACATTCTCTTAATAGAATAATTAATTATCTTAGTTCTGCTTACATGACCCTACTACCTTTACTTATAGTTATTCTCATAAAGCACAACCTGGTGATTACTTTCACTTTACTGAAGCCTGCTTCTGGTGAACTCAGACTAGACTTACACAAAGTGAGCTTCTGCTGTTGCTCTGTAATGACTCAGCGTCATTGTGTTGACTGAACGGCAGCTTGCTGCTGAAATACAACGTTAACGTTACGGCACACGTGTCTCCTCTCTAGTAGGGCATTTAATAGACTGTCTGTATTCGGGGAGTTCGTGGCTGAGGTTTCCTTTGTTAAAGTCACCAAGGACAATAACTAAAGAGTCCGGGTTGGTCCGCTCCACACACAGTATCTGGTCGTCGAGCGCGCGCTGTGCTTCCTCCACGTTGCCCTGCGGCAGAATGTAAACACCGACCAGTATGAATGAAGCGAACTCACGGGGGGGGGTAAAAGGAGTAAAATATTCCAGATCAGGAGAACAGTGCTGCAGAACCACTGTCACATCGTTACACCAGCCACTGTTGGAGTAGAAACAGATTCCTCTACCCTTCGATTTGCCGGAGAGCTCCGTGTCGCGATCCGCTCTGAACAGCTGGAAGCCAGTCAGCTGGCGCACAGAGTCCGTTATTGTTCCGCAGAGCCAGGTCTCAGTGAAGCACAAAATGGAGGATGAAGAAGTATCTGTCTTTCCCCACCAGTAGCTGAAGTTCGTCCAGTTTGTTGCTGAGTGAGCGGACGTTGGAGAGAAATATGCCCGTCAGCGGTGAGCGAAATCCACGTGTGCAAAGACGCACGAGCGCGCCGGCCCGTTGGCCTCTCCTACGGTGCTTCACTGCATGAGATAAGGTGAGAGCACCTTAGACGAGAATGTCCAGGAATTCCACAGAAGTTAACTGAAAAGTTGGAAGTAAGTCCGCTGGAGTTGTTCCCCTGATGTTTATGAGCTCATCTCTGGTGAAAGAGCTTTGGGTAGCGCAGCATAAAACTGAATTAATGACAAAAACAAGACAATACGCACCAACACGTCGAGGCAGCCGTCCGCAGCGCAATCTTGATGTATAAAGAAGCGATATTTAAAAGCTCTGCTGTAGGATGCTACCTATCGTCAACCCCGCCAGACGCGAGGGAAGGCTGTCTGGTGCTTTATCAGTCCTATACCAGTCCGAGTCGCTGTCTTCAGCCGACTGCCAGTATCCTCTGTGTGTGTGGGGAAGCTGAGGCCTGAAGTGGAGGGTGGAGACCATCTGTAGTCCTCTCCTCTGGTCCTCCTCTTGGAGGATCAGAGGCCTGAAGTGGAGGGCGCTGTGTCCTCGTGGTCGTCCTCACCGGTCCTCTGCCTCTTCACACTTACCTGCTCCGTGCAGTCCTCTTCCCTGCTCCTCTTGGTGGACTCTTCTGACCTCTGGGGGACCAGGGGCGGAGCCTCTTCAGGACGTTCCACACCAAAAGGGAGGGAGAGCGGATGGCCAGCGGGAAAGGGAGGAGGAGTCGGCACGTGGTAGAACCCCTCCCAGAAACTCCTAGGTGGTAACCGCTGGGTGGTCATCTTCGTCTTCCTCTTCTTCTTCCTCCTCTTCTTCTTCTTCCTCTTCCCCCTCTTCTTCTTCCTCCTCCTCTTCCTCTTCTTCGTCCTCTGTATCCTCGAACATGGAGTCATATCAGGAATCTAAGTATTCCCAGTCGGATCCGACGTCTTCCTCCACGTCCTCTTCCTCCTCCTTAGCTGGGACCAAAACATCAAGCCTGACCTCATACTCACCGTTTACATAATAAACATATTCAACACATACTTCACCTGCTCCGTCGTCAGAGGAGTACGGGAGGATCCTGTAGCCCTCCTGTGCAGGACGTTCCATGATGTAGTTCACACCAGCTGAGAGGGAAAAATTAAAACTGTAAGGATTTCTCATAACATGAAATATTTCTGGATTACATTGAAGAATAATCAAAGATTAAATGAGAAAAAATAACACGTGTCACCAACACACAAGAGGCTGTGCCTTTTACTATTTTAACAATAATATCAAACATAGTGCAGCTCTGCCTCTGTTAGTTCGAACATTAGTCCGTTATAATAACTAGTTTGTTATAATTAGTTCGTTATAATAACTAACATTAGTTAGTTATTCTGCACCAAACAATTGTAAGGACTTCAATGTTTGTGTGGACAAAACGATCAATGGTTTGCAGTAAACACCGTGAACGTGTTTAATATGCATTGAGCTACGTGCGTCATGACGCACAGTGAAACATGGCTACATTAATCCAACATGACCACAGTACCCTCTTTAGTTTATAACTCATTATTCTCCCAGTTTATGAGTTGCATATCACAGCGCGTGGAGGAGATGGTGCACGCGCACATGCAGTCCCGTCCCTCCTAAACAAAATACCACAACAACGAGCAAAGCGCATCTCAATGTTAAAGACATAGTTGAAGTAATATTATAAAGTAACAGGAGCAGATGTTTTTTGGTGTAAATCAGCTGTCCCACGCTTTCCGTGTCCAGCTCCCTGCCCACCTCCTTCTCCCCTTGCAGGATCAGCTTTACGACGTCGGCGTCAACAGAGGCATAGATGAACGACGTGTCATAGGGGGCGCCGAGGCAGTGTGTTGTGTTTCTTGTTACATACTAATTAGTTACCATTCACAAACCAATCACATTATTTTCCACGCTCTGTGACATTTGCTAAGAACGAAGTGAATGTGAGAGGAGTGCTTTCTCCTCGAGTGACGCAATTTATTCATGTCACGTTCAGTTCTGATCATGTACGTCTGACGAGGTAAACAACTATCCAAATGACAGCCTCTGAACCCCCCCCCCCCCCCCAGGGCAGCGACCCACCTGCACTCTTCTCCTGGGGGGTCAGCTCCACCACCTGCCAGCCGTCGAACTCCGCACCGAGGTCCCCCTTCCTCATCCATGCTACAGCCACCAAACTTTAAACAAAGGTGCTTTGGAGTGCTAGGAATACACACACACAATTTCAGGAGTCTAGCACAAACTTTCAAAAAGTTTGTGCTAGACTCCTCATTCATGAGCTCACTTCAAATCACATTCATGAGAAAATGTGTCTAATTTCAGATTAGATTTTAGAGGAAATGGTGCAGAGTTACTAAATCATTTCACAACAGGTTAATAGTTGACCACCTCAAGGTGTCACTTGGAGAGTACCAGGACATTCTGATGTAGCATTTCAAAATTAAAGCCCTTCAAAATCTCATTCATGAGCTAACTTCAAATCACATTCATCAGACAATTTGTCTAATTTCAGGTGGTTATTACCCCCTCACCCTCTTCCCAAGGTCCTAGACACTTGGGACTGGTACCCATCAACCCGCAATGACCGCTTTAGTGGGGGTAGAGCCCACTCCTAAGGCTCTAGGACCTTCCTATCACCCTAACCCTAACCCTAAACCTATCCCTAACCCTTATCATGTGCTTGGCCACGCCCCCAGCCCAAAGCAATGGGAGTCTATGACAGCTATACCAAAGGAACAAGCTACAGCCACCAAACTTTAAACAAAGGTGCTTTGGAGTGCTAGGAACACACACACACAATTTCAGGAGTCTAGCACAAACTTCCAAAAAAGTTTGTGCTATATAACGTCCTTGTGCCAGACACAGAAGCTGTTGATACAGCAGTTGTTAGTCAAAACTTCCCCATTTGGCCATGGGATTCTGGTAAATGCATTTGTATGCACTATATGTTGTGTGTATTTTTATATCTTTGCTCATATACTGTGTATTTAATTCTCTTTTGTACCCTTTGCAATTGTCTATTGTTCTTCAGGAGTAATAGAAGTGTTCAATTATTAACATTTATTGAACTTTATTTTCATTACTGTTGGAGAAATTCAATATGATCACTTCGTTACAGCATCCAAAGTCCCCCTCGAGACAAAGAAACTGGCCTTTGACAAACTAATGCCGCTGTCTCGACTTCGAGAAGAGGATGGGATGTATTTAACTGAAATATAAAGACCCCAATGATCATCATTTGACATGAGTTTATATATTTGGTCGTGATTCAAAGTTATTTAATGATCACAAATGTATACAACAATGTGAGATCACATAAGCCAGTAGCTCTGTCACCGTTCTTGTCAATGTAATACTGAAATAATAATATAACAACAAAAATATAGTATATCATATAATATATTATTATTAACAATAATAACAATAATCTCTTGAAATGTATACTGCAAATGATCTAAATTGTTCTAAATTATTCTTGAACGTATTGATTCTAAAAGTAAAAGTATCTTGCAGCAGTCTGCTCTGTCGGTATAGTAGCCTATCTACCGTTCAGACCTGCAGCAGCCAATCATCTTCGTGCTCATTAAACAAACGGCGTTTTGCCTCCACCGCCTGGGAGAAGTAGCAGACACCGCTCGCTGCAGTGTGAGGCCGGAGTGGCGTTTCTTTCTCCGGGCGCCAGATGGCGCTGTTACCCCTAATGCCAACATTCAACAGGTCCAGCGACGCGACACCAGCTTGGACTGCACGAGCGAGGCACAGAACAGGCGCGATGTATTCAGTAAACAATATAAATAACGCCGTTTTGTTTTTCTCTGTCGTTCGCTACACAGTCATCTAAATAAATACTTATAGATAACTGTATCATATCAAGCAAACGTCCACATTAAGTGAGTGTCTGAGATGTGCAGGTGACGTTCAGATGAAGGTGTGGCACGTGCTTAATTAACGCCGTGTTCGTTTTTCCCCCACTTTCCTCTGCGGCAATACGCATCTCCGCGCGAGTCCGATCCTCTGCGACCAGTGGATGTCGTTGTTCCGCCCGGTGTCACCCCCTCGAGATGAGCTGACCAAGGAGCTGTGCCAAGCAAGATGAGAGAGAGAGAGAGAGAGAGAGAGAGAGAGAGAGAGAGAGAGAGAGTCCGGGAGAGTGAGAGGGAGGGGGCGAGAGAGAGATTGTGAAAAGAACGGTAGGAGGAGAGGGACTTGCTATAAGGACACCAGCTACTCTTAAATCCAGCCGCTCCTCTGTTTTTACGCAGGAGAATATTTTTTTGTTTGTTGAAGAAACAAAACAAGAAAACGGGAGCAGTTGTGATTGAAGCCCATCAGAGAAAAAGTAGCCTCACATCTCGTTTATTTATTTTTTCTTTAAATCATTCTCAGGTAAAGTGAGCTTCAAAGAAATTTCGCCAAAAAAAATAACTGGCATGCGTGTAAAGTAAATTTGATATCATTGTCAAATTCTTGCCCCCATGTTTTTTTGCGGGGGGATGTTTGCTGCATCGCCAAACTTAACTCTCTCTCTCTCTCTCTCTCTCTCTCTCTCTCTCTCTCTCTCTCTCTTTCTCTCTCTCTAACCTCACGCTCGCTGCTTCCCCCGTTTCTCCCCCAGCCGGCAGAGACACTTGGGGACGGAGGGACCTACCATGATAAGGGCTGTGGACATTGCGCTGACTGTGCTGCTCGCCGCGTCCCTGTCGTGCCGGAGCGCCCTCGGCGGCTACGGGGTGAGCCTGTTCGCGGCGCAGACCTCTCCCCCGGACCCTTGCTACGACGAGCACGGCAACCCGCGGCGCTGCATCCCGGACTTCGTCAACTCCGCCTTCGGCAAGGAGGTGAAGGTGTCCAGCACCTGCGGCAAGGCGCCCGGTCGCTACTGCGTGGTGACGGCGGCGGAGAAAGGAGACGAGAGGACGAGGAACTGTCACACCTGCGACGCCTCAGACCCCAGGAAGTACCATCCGCCGGCGTACCTGACGGACCTCAACAACCCGCACAACCTCACCTGCTGGCAGTCGGAGAACTTCGTCCAGTACCCGCAGAACGTCACGCTGACTCTGTCGCTCGGCAAGAAGTTCGAGGTCACCTACGTGAGCCTGCAGTTCTGCTCGCCGCGGCCCGAATCCATGGTCATCTACAAGTCCATGGACTACGGTAAAACCTGGGTGCCCTTTCAGTTCTACTCGACGCAGTGCAGGAAGATGTACAACAAGCCGAACAGGGCCATGATCACGAAGCAGAACGAGCAGGAGGCGGTCTGCACGGACTCGCACACCGATATGTACCCGCTGACCGGCGGGCTCATCGCCTTCAGCACGCTGGACGGCAGGCCGTCGGCGCACGACTTCGACAACTCCCCGGTGCTGCAGGACTGGGTGACGGCCACCGACATCAAAGTCATCTTCAGCCGGCTGCACACGTTCGGCGACGAGAACGAGGACGACTCGGAGCTGGCGAGGGACTCGTACTTCTACGCCGTGTCGGACCTGCAGGTCGGCGGGAGGTGCAAATGTAACGGGCACGCGTCCCGGTGCGTAAAGGACCGGGACGGGAGTCTGGTGTGCGAGTGCAAGCACAACACCGCCGGGCCGGAGTGCGACAGGTGCAAGCCTTTCCACTACGACAGACCGTGGCAGAGAGCCACGGCCAGGGAGGCCAACGAGTGCGTCGGTAAGTCCAACCCCGCCGAGCTCCGTCCCGGAGCGGCTGCGCGTCTCTGATGCTGTGCCGGGTCTAGCTGATACATGTGGGATGGGTTGTGTTTGTGGTGGCTGGACGGACTGGTGTGATTTTAAGATTGGGCCTTCAGTGGAAATATTTCATTAGGGTGAAAAAAAAGAGCATTATTAGAGAGATAGATGTAAAATAAGTGAATTTTGGGCATACAAAATTATGCGTTTGATGGTATTTTAAATAATAATTAAAATAATTGTATTATAGTTCAATTTACGACTAATTGTAAAGCTTAACTTCATTCAAGTTAAGCTTTAATTAAACAAAACCGCAGCAAAGCCAAACGCATTTATTTTTCCTGATATTGTGGCGTTCGTCAACGAGCATACAATTGTGTTCAAGTCACACGAGACGTGGAAATGCAATTTGAAAGTCCATTTAGCTCACTGCAGGCCACAATGGGGGCTTTTAAACCACCTCACACGGGACCACCGAGCCTAATCATCCACAGGAACATTTCTCACATGCTCGACTTTATACCGCTGCGATAAAGCGATGCCTTTTTTTAATTCATCTCAAGGATCCTGCAACAAACTCACCGCAGTGGTAATTGAACGCAGCTTTTTAATTCATAATTAATGATTTTTTTTATTATCACATAATTATGTTTTGCATCAAAAGCAATACGACATACTGCATCAACATGTCAGGTGTTGCAGTTGAGAATTTAAAAATATTATAATCAAATCGTTTTCCTTATTACATTGAAAAAAGCTAATTGGCCCTAGATTTATTGGATTTTATTCTGTTATAAATGTACTTTAAAAAAATAAAAAAGTGAGAATTACTTTCATTTGGTTATTTTCTTAATTATCACTGCCATTATTCACTGAAAAACAACCTGAGAAAATACAATATACCCCCATCTAACAGTATTTGCCAGGCCTAAAAGAAAGCAGGTGTAAAAACAACAACAACAAAAGAAGCAAATTCCTGATCTTATCTGTTCTGCTGCTCTTTGTGTCTGACAAGCCAACATGTTTTGTCAGCTGCTGACTGATCGGTTACAGTAGTTTTATTACAACCTGGCACAGACACATGTATGAACCTGTAGTAGGTTGTACTGCAGAATACTGGCCAGGTTTTTGTCAATTTTAGGTTCCCTTGAGATGCATAAGAGAAGATGATGAGAGATTGTTTGATGAAATTGCTGAATTATGTTGCTGTATTCCAAGTGAAATTGTTTTTCTTGGTCGTTGTTGTTTTCGCTTAGTTTCATTTCATTGTAATTACTGGAAAGACAGACTGGCAGTAGTTTGATGTTGGCCCGGCTCCTGCTGATGAGGTGTACAGTGAGGAGGATGAGGAGGGACGGCTCGAGAAACTGAAGAAGAGGCAGAAAGATGTTGCTGATAGAGACTAAAACCTCAGAGTGAATCCCTTTATATTCCCCAGTGTGCTGCAGGTCTGCAGTGGGGAAAAAATAAGACTCTGCTTGACGGTCACGGCACATGTCAGCCACTTTGACACGAAGCAGATGTTTAAAAGGTTTTTTTGTTTGCTGCCGTTGTCCGTTGCTAAAGCTCTGACACATTCTCGCTGGCAGATGTTGCTAAATCAACAGGCGCCGTTTTGTGGAAATATCCACATTCTGCCTGGACTCTCAAAATAGCACTTGATGTGTAAAAGAAATAAATGGAATTGAGTTTATACTGCTTGAATTACAAGTGGCAGTCAGGTGAACAACGCACTCAATATCAGTTATACTTTACATGTTTTACATGTGTCACTCTAAAAAAAAAAGTCCATGTCTATATTATATTTAAGAATCAAGCAACACAAACAACATTTAAATTCTTACTATAATAATAACATTGTAGGCAGTCAGTAAGAAAGATTGCCGCGGTGAAAATCATAGCATTCAGATGATACTCAAATATCTCAGCACTCAGCAATGCAACATTCAAATGCATCAAATATAAAGAGGAGGATTTTCAATTTACAGCTTTTAAATATCTGCACGATGTAGAGTAATACATGCGTGAAAAACAAAAATCAGTTTAGGCACAACTCCTAATAAACTCACGCAAATAAATCGTTTCCTTCAGTAAACAATCCTCAACACCTTCTTGTTTTAGAGGACTAGATCGTGTATAATAAGTTTCACACTCGAACCATGAAAGCCAGTCGATTATTGCATCCATCGCAGAGAGTTTTTGTCGTTGCACTCCCCTTAATGACAGCGCCGTGAGTGTCTCTGGACTCTCACGAGGTTCTAGTTAAGCACAGAAATGTTTCTGTGTGCAGTAAAAAGGTCTGGCACCGTGCGGAAGGGCACTTTGCTGATTACTTCCATCAGGCTCTTAGAGGACGCTCCTGAGTGTGCGCCTCCATCCATTTGGGTTATTGACTCATCGCAGAAGAAGATGCAGCTTCTAATGCAATGGGTTCAATAGCCAATACCGCAGTCACGACGGGGACACGCTTCAATCTCAGTTTAGACGTGTTCATCTGGGCTTGCAGCAACCGTAGGAGTGCAAATTTACTGTTCATTTTCAGCATTTTAATTTTCTAATTAAGTTTGTGCAGTTTATTTAACATTTTGAGTTTAAAGAAAGGAGAAGGTTTTATGAATAATTCAGGCAGATTAGAAAAAAAACCAGCCTGAAGGTATGCAGAGTGAAGCGACTGAACCACAGAGAGGAGCAGGGACAGAAGGAGGTGCAGCAGGACGACAATAGTGAAAATGAAAGAGACAGATTTAAGAAAAATGTGTGAGGGAGAGGAACCGGGAAATAAAGGGAAGGTAGAGTAACATTTCCATGGCCTGTTCACAAATTACTTTTTCTTTTTTTTCCAGGCGCCCCTTATTGGGTCAATAAGAATATAAAGGCTGCTGGGACATGAAGAAACTTTTCTTCTTTCTGCATCGATATTGTAACATATCAGTGACTTGGAGGAGATTCTCTCCATCCTATAGCTGCGATTTACGCCTGTTTGCACACGAGCAGTTTCTTAAAGCCGAGCATCAGCTGGGTGATTGGAACGGAGCTGCTTCCTTTTTTTTTCTTCGTTATATCCAAATCTGAACTGCATAAATCACCCTCAAATGTTCCCAGGTGCAAACGCGTGGTGTCGACAAGTTGAGATGGTTGATTTGATACCCATTGAAATAATTGAGTTTTAAAGCCACAACTGCTTGTATGGACAAAAAAAAAAAACTACTTTAAAGTTGTTTTTATGCCTTGTGATATGTGAGCTCGCTTTCAACTTGAAACCGTCAGGGGTAAAAAAATAAAAAATTCCGTACATAAAAAAATTCTTGAACAGGTCCTCGGAGTGCCTTAACTAGATTTGAGTATTAACTCCAACAAAATGTTCGAGCGAACATAAGTAAACACTTAAAAACAGCTGTGCGCATACTGATGTTTGCTGGTGTGTTTTCCTAACTTCCATGGATGGCTGCCCAAAACCATAATAAGGTCTCAGATAATCCCAGAAACAGCTACAGCGGAGTTTGATAACAGAAAAGTTTCCTGCAACGCTATCAGAAACAATCAATTTCTAGATTTAGCAGAGTTTTTTTTCTGACAGAATCAAAAAGAAGGAGCTTTTTGCAAATATTTGTGCACCAACTCTCATACATGAAGGAATGCAGCATAGAAAAATGTTGTGCTTGTGCATTAAACAATAGCTGCCCTGATCATAGAGATGTCCCAATGTACAATGGACCAAAAATTGTAAGAAATAAACCATCAAAGATGCTAAAAACCATCAAATATTACAGACTATTGACAGACTGTGTTAAAATATTACAGAGTGGATTCTTCCATTGAAATCACTGTTGCTTACTCAGGTGAGGTGTTTACAGTCGTTCTGCACATATTGGATAATGAGATTCAAACTGTAAACTATTCCACCAGTAAAAATGATACCAGTCATATACGTATCATTCCACCTTTGTTTGCACATAGAAGCGATGGTTTTCACTTAAAATGCATCAAGTCAGTTGAGGAACAAAAGATGTTTTTCCTTCAGACGTCTCCTTTGCCGTCATGTTCGTTCGCTACCTTTTCAGACATGACTGAAGGTCTGGTTAATGTTTAATCAGCTAGCCGCGCACCTTTATGAAACCGGCATCCTTCATCTTCAAAGGTGCCGGCGGGATGCGTCGTTAGTGCCGCTCATAGCAAACAAAGCTGGGAATAAACTGACAGAGTAGCTTTGCACTTTGCACTGTCCTCTACTAGTCTTCACCTCTACTTCTTCAGTCAGAGCTCACCTCTTTCTACCTTGATGCACACACCTGTAGGCATGCACACATACACACACGCGCACACACACAAACAGTTTTCGTCAGGTCTGAAGCCGCTAGTTCAAACAGGGGGGAATGGCCTCTCTCTTCAAGAATCTCTTTTGCCGGAGCTCTTATCTGTGTTTATGGCTCGTTTTGTAAACCGCTGCAAAAATAAGTCGCTCATGGTCCAGGCGACCGGCTCAACCCTCTGTTTTAGATTTTGAGGCCTGTTGTATCTCTCAGACAGACAGAAACATGGCCACTGAGCCAGCACTGTAAGCAAGCCTGACTGTACGGTATATCAAGTAGCTGTAACCAAACACAAAAATAGACAGAAAAGATACACACACACACACACACACACACAAACGTCGTGGAAAGTCAGCAATAATGACAAACTTTCTGCAGCATGTTTTGCGAGCAAAGGAGACTCTGCTGGCAGCCTCTACTTTCTGGGAGGACAGCAGGCATAAGCTCTGGAAAGGATGGCGAGCTTGTTAACTAGCTAGCTTGTCCTTCTCCAGAGCTGGCTAGTTAGCTAGCTAATCTCTGGAGCCCCCGCCTGCTCTCCTCCCGGCAAAGTAGTTTTCTAGCGGTGAGGCAGAGGGACCGTTAAATCCAGCAAAGTCGCTGGGCATATTTTCTCTAACCAGTGCAGCATGAAAGCATGGTGGAATTAGCAAGTTAGCTAGCTAACTGG